TGGAATACGGGTATTTCTGTCTCATGCCCAACACTTTCCCTCTAAACCTGTTTCTCATTTGCAGTTCAAGCCTATGAACAACATGAGGTTCAAGCAACCAACCTGGCCTCTTACTTTCCCCTTCCTGGTCAGGAATATAGCACACTCTCTGGCGCTTCCAAGGTGAGTCTTTCTTCCACTGAATTCTTGCCACGGCTCACCCAAGTTGGCTTCACTAATGAAATGCTTTCCACCATCTTTTTTAAAAAAGAAGTATTATTTATTTTATTTGAAAATCAGAGTTATACAGAAAGAGGAGAGGCAGAAAGAGAGAGAGAGAGAGAGAGAGAGAGAGAGAGAGAGAGGTCTTCCATCGGCTAGTTCACTCCCCAATTGGCCACGATAGCCAGAGCTGTGCCAATCCGAAGTCAGGAGCCAGGAGCTTCTGCCGGGTCTTCCATGCAGGTGCAGGGGCCCAAGGACTTGGGCCATCTTCTATGCTTTCCCAGGCCATAGCAGAGAGCTGGATCAGAAGTGGAGCAGCCAGGACTTGAACCGGCGCTGGGATGCTGGCACTGCAGGCGGCAGCTTTACCGCTACGCCACAGCGCTGGCTCTGCTTTCCATCATCTTTAGATCACGTTGAGAGCAATTTCTCTACCTGCTTCAATTCCATTGGACGATTACCATTATTTTTGAGATTCCCATCCAGAAGTGTGTATACCTCTCAGGTTCTCACTCCCAGGAACTGTTTCTGGTGGGAAACTCAAAGCCCACCAGACCAGCCCTGTTTCAGAATGGCTTTGAGGAATGACCCGCGGGAGCCACGCCGGTCCCTGAATCATCACACAGCACCTACGTGAGAAACAAGCCGAGTGTTCCTTTTGTCGCCCCACCCCCACCCTATACAGACAGACGAAGGAACTACAGTTTCATTTGGCACAGCTCGCCTATCTTCATTCTTCAGAGCCTAAAAACGCACACACACTTTGATCGTTCAATAGTCCACGGAGCTGCAGCTGGGGCCTCCGTGTACTTTTATCTCACAGGCTGGTGACACTTCCGAAGGCAGTGAGGCTGCGACTTGCGTCCAGGGCATCCTGGGAAAAGCACAGCCAACCCCACACTCTCAACCCCTGCCCCTTTCATGAGCTGGGTGCTTGCAAGAGGAACCCTGCTGGACGTCTCCGTGTGAAACTTCCCCTTCACTCAAGCTGCATCTTCTCTTGTTTGTTGATTCGAACGACCGTTGTACGGCTTATCCTTCTTAAGCGATCTGTTCCTCCTGGTCTATCTTAATTAGGTAGATCAGCCTGCCACATTTAATTCATTCCTATTAATGAGAGCAGCACATTACCAGTGCCAGAGAGCCACAAGGACCCCCTTCTAGGTTCCTGAGTATTATTTTTAATATTGCTATCACATTAGGGGACTAATGAAACAGAAAATCTTTATTACCAGCTCTGCTTCCCCAACCAGTGCCTTCCCCTTCTTCCCACAGGTGACACAGGACCAAGTGGCACTGCCGTGACCTGGAAGCCCCAGAGAGCGACAGCACCGGAAGCTGGCAGCCTTTCCTCGCCCCGTGGCGGTGGTCTGTGTCTCCATCTTGAATGAGGGAATTGTGTGACCAGCAGCCCCGCTCTGAGGGTCCCTGAATGGGAACCCACACCTCCGGGGTTTTCCGCTCACCTTTCAAGGCCTGGGGTGGGAGGGGACGGGCAGGATGGAGTGCCAGTCAAAAGGATGACCCTTCCCTATTCTGCTCTCCTCTCCTGTCACCGATTTCTGACCGGCCCTCGATCCTATCAGGGGTCCATAAAGCTGGGAGGACTCTGGCCCGGGAGAGGGGGGTAGGGGTTAGGCAAACAGGCCAGGGAGGCAGTTGGTTGAAATTTAACCACAATATTCTCGGTCTCTATTGTTTTGAGTGAGGCCCAATACTTCCACAGCAGGATTATAGGATCTGATTAACCATGTTAGACAACAATGCTGGCTGGGATGGGCTTCCCCTTCCAGCTGCCAATATGAAAAAGTAAATACAACACCCAGATTTCAGAAGGGACTCCAGCAGCCCCCGAGGCCCACTCCCCAATTCCAACCCCGCTACTGTGTTTGGCCCCCAGCGCGGGGAGGGAGGAAGAGTGTGGCATGGCATGCTCCTTTAACTACTGGCCCTTGGCCCAGCGAGACAAGTAATCCTGGCACAACCTTCCCAGGTGAGTCAATGGCCGTGTGCTCCCCACACCCTGGAATTCGTCCAGGGCCTCTTCCGGGTTCCCCTGGTCGGCTGGCTCGGATTCTGAAAGCCGGGTGCCGGGAAGCCAGCCTGCATCCAGAGGGTCCCAGGCTGGTAGAGACTCAGTGGGGGTGGGACCAAGTGCTCAGAAGAGCGATGGCGCCTTTGCTGGGATCCTTTGGTGCTGCCATGGGTTTCCCACGTGCTGGGGGAGAGCTATGAGAGCCTCGAGCTTAGGGGCTGCACACACGGCCACCATAGAGAACGGCACAGGAGAGGCAAAGGATCCCTCGGGTGTTCTGCAAGAGACAGAAAGTGGATGCATGGGGGTTTCCCAGGGGCCCTCCTCCTCACACACAGGCAGGCTGCCTTGGATGGGTTCCCCCCAGCATGAGATCCTCTGAGGCCCTGGCCAATAAGAGGAAGACACAGGAAGCAATGAGCCCCCGGACAACCCCACAGCATCTCCCAGGGCATCCGGCGGCCAGGGGAAATCCTCCTCCTCTGGTCCCAGCACTGCCTTCTGCGTCTCAGGGCCTCCTATGATCCCTTCCAGTCCACACGCTGATGGGACGTTGGTTCCACATCTGGGAACCCGGGAACCCAAGGCCTGGAGCTCTGAGTTCGGCAGCTTCCTTGCAGTAAATCAATCCTCCTAACAGTTTCTTCTGCAGAGGAGTTGGAAGATGGAAATCACTTCAGGGAAGAGGCTGGAAAAACACAGCCTGATTGGATCAAAACCCAGTTAAGATAAGGCCAACTTTGTTTTTTTTTTTTTTTAAGATTTATTTATTTATTTATTTGAAAGGCAGAGTTAGAGAGACAGAGGCAGAGGGGGAGGGAGGGAGGGAGGGAGAGAGAGAGAGAGAAAGAGCCAGGAACTTCTTCCAGGTCTCCCACATGGGTGCAGGAGCCCAAGGACCTGGGCCATCATTTTTTAAAATTTTTTTATTTACATAAACAGAACAGATTTCATGTATTTCATATACACAATTTTAAAAATTTATTTATTTGATAGAGTTAGACAGTGAGAGAGACAGAGAGAAAGGTCTTCCTTCTGTTGGTTCACCCCCAAAATGGCCGCTACGGCCAGAGCTATGCTGATCCAAAGCCAGGAGCCAAGTGCTTCTTCCTGGTCTCCCACGCGGGTGCAGGCGCCCAAGCACTTGGGCCATCCTCCACTGCCCTCCCGGGCCATAGCAAGAGTTGGACTGGAAGAGGAGCAACCGGGACTAGAACCCAGTGCCCATATGGGATGCTGGTGCTGCAGGCAGAGGATTAACCAAGTGAACCACGGCACCGGCCCCAACTTGGGCCATCTTCCACTGCTTTCCTAGGCCATAGCAGAAAGCTGGATTGGAAGTGGAGCATCCGGGACATGAACCGGCACCCATATGGGATGCCGGCACTGCAGGCGGAGGCCCCAAGCCAACTCTTCTTTAGTAGCGTAATACCACCACGGTGAAATCTTTCAAGTTAGGGCTAAAAACTGACCCTGACCTCCAACAATATAATCAAAGCCATGGTCAGACAAAAACAAAGTGCCCAGGACTTGTGTCTATTAACACAGATTACACTCCTGGCGCAGGGAGGGCTGAGCACAGCAGGCAGTGTTGTGCTGTACTCCTTGCCACAATCTTTCTACTTTTGTAAGCAGCAGAAAATGAGGGACAGAGTAATGAGAAGAAAATGTCCCTGCCAGCGCTGTGGTGTAGAGGGTAAAGCTGCCACCTGTGGTTCAAGTCCCAGCTGCTCCACTTCCGATCCAGCTCTCTGCTATGGCCCAGGAAAGCAGTGGAAGATGGTCCAAGCCCTTGGGCCCCTGCACCCGTAGGTGAGACCAAGAAGAAGCTCCTGGCTCCTGGCTTCGGATCAACCCAGCTCCAGCCATTGTAGCCATTTGGGGAGTGAACCAGTGGATGGAAGACCTCTCTCTCTGCCTCTGCCTGTCTGTAACACTGCCTTTCAAATAAATAAATAAATTTGAAAGAAAGAGTGAGAGAGAGAACACCCCTGGTGACAGTGTCAGGAATGTGCCCGGATCCAGGAGCAGCAAGAGAGGCACAGCCTTCTTGGGTCCCCACTCCTCCTTATGCTGTCTTTGCACAGAGAGAACACAGGTGCTAAGAGGAAACCAAGGCTGGGGAGGAGGGAGGAAGCCAAAGAAGACAGAAGTGCCCCGGACAAAAACCAGCAGCAGCAGCGGGGCTGCAGGTCAGGAGACACCGCAGCTCCCGTCCCCCGACGCCCCACCCGGGCTCACTGTGGGGACAGGAGGATGGGGCTCTCGCTGCGCCAGATTCTTCCGCAGTCCAGAGCACAGCAGCACCCTAGAAATCCCAGGGCGAGCACCCCAGGACTTGGGGGAAGATGGAGCCCCTCATCAGGGAGGTTCTCCCCTCCCTGCTCCATAATTTCACTGTCCTGTGGGAAAACTCCTTGACCCCGGGAACTGGCTGCTTGGTGACAGGAAAAGCACGGCCCTGGTGGGACTTCAGGACCCAGGGCTGTTGTGAGGCATGAGAAAGGGAGGTGCTCCCCGCTGCAGCGCGAGGGATAAGAATTCCTTTTGCAGTCCAGAGCGCGCCTGTCCTGGCTGCCTGCGGGCGAAGCGGCCAGTAGGGTGGAGAAGGCCTTGCAACCTAGGTGGCGCTATTTCTCTACTTTTTAGGTCAAGTTCCTGCAGGAACTTCCTCGAGGTCTCCAGTCCTGCTCCTGGTTTGCTGGCTTGCTCGTGTAAACCACCTTATATTATTTTTTTTTCTAAAAATACTCCAAAGCAATTGAAAGAGTCCCTTCTCCCACCAGCCAGCCCTGGCCCCAGCCCCGGCCCCGGGGAGCGGGCGGGTAGGCGGGGAGGTGGGCCACTGCTTTATTAAACACAGGGAAAACTAATATTTACGGAATAAAATTTATGGAGCAGCCACGAGAATTCGACCCTTTTATGTGCACGAGGAGTGGGGGCTGGGCCAGGCTGGGGGCCTCAGGGAGGGGCCCCAGCCCGGGGGCAGGGCTGGAGTAGAGCCTGGCGAGGCCGACTTGTCAACGTGGGGATTGCCCTGGAGGCGCCCTGAGTCTCAGCTGTCACCCCAGCTCTGGGGGTGAGGGCTCAGGGCACGAAGGCCCCAGTCAGGGCTCTGGCCGCTGTCTCCAAGGATGCATTTTGGCAACACCCCCGTGGAGGCAGCACCCTCTGGGAGGAGGTCACCAGGCACGCTCTGGCTTAACCTTTTCCAAAAGTCGGACATTATTTTAAGGACAGGAACGAAGTTATGCTCCTAGGATTTTCCTTAAGCTGGAGGGGATTCATAGGCCTCTGGTCCCGGCCCTTGAGACTGTACTTTTAGGACACAGAGGGACCCCTCCTGGGTGAGAAACTGTATTTTTCCCAAGCGTCCTGAGGGAGCCTTTCCGTTTCCCACTTGGTCTCGTGCCTTGGAGACACTCAATGTGGCAGTGACAATGATGCCGACAAGACAGTGGGAACAGATTGAGCCGACTTTGATGACAGCCACCAGCAGTGGCACCCCTGGGGTTCTGGAGTTCACAGCAGCCACTGGGAAGGAGCCCTCAGCCTCTGCGGGCAGGGAAGGCACATGCGGTAAATCCTGGCGTCTTCAGGGAGCCCACAGCGAGCAGAGCAGCCAGGGAAGGAGCGGGGTCACAGGCTAAGGATAGGTGAAGTGGGGACCACGATCCAGCTCTCCGCTAGGGCCCAGGAAGGCAGTGGAGCGCTTGGGACCCTGCACCCATGGGGAGACCCAGAGGAGGCTCCTGGCTCCTGGCTTCAGATCAGCCCAGCTCCGGCCATTGTGGCCATTTGGGGAGTGAACCAGCGGATTAAAGATTGTTCTCTGTCTCTCCCTCTCTGTGTCTGTAACTCTACCTCTCAAATAAATAAATAAAATCTTTAAAAAAAAAATAAAGTGGGGGGCCAGAACATCTCTCCTGGGAGATGTTCTCGTGTTATGTAGAGAATACTGTTGATGAGAACTCAGCGGCGAGGGTTCCCATCCTGTCCCTTATTAGCTGCGGGGCCTTTGATAAGTCACTGAGACAGTTCCAGGCTCTGTCTCCTAGTGGCTGGACAGTATCTCCTCATGTGGTGCTGTGAGGATTCAACACCAGGCACTACCCAGAGGGCACCAAGCCTACATCATTATTATAACACTTGTTTTATTATTGCTCAGATACTCCTCTCCCGTGACCTGACGTCAGCACAGGAGCACGGTCCCCACTGGAGAGGACAGAACAAGGAGGCGTCTGACAGTTCCTAGTAAACATCCGAGCCGCTTGTTGGTCTTCCCTCTCCAGTGTGAAGTTTCAGGTAGTCTTTTGTTTATTTTTCAAGATTTATTTACTGATTGATTTGAAAGGCAAAGTGACAGAAAGAGGGAGAGAGAGACAGAGACAGACACAGAAAGATATCTCTTATCTGCTGGTTCACTCCTCAAATGGTTGAAACAACCAGGGCCAACACAGGTGAAGCCAGGAACCAGGAACTCCATCTGGGTCTCCCGTGCGGGTGGCAGGGTCCCAAGTACTTGGGCTATTTTTGCTGCTTTCCCAGGTGCATTAGCAAGGAGCTGGATAGGAAATGGAGCAGCCAGGACTTAAACAGGCACTCATAGGGATGTCAGAGGTGCAGGTGGCAGCTTAACCTGCGGTGCCACCACTGGCCCCTCGGGTGGCCTTATCGAGAAAGGAAAATCTGGCAGAGAAGGTTAGGGGCGTGGCCAATCCCCTGGTGCCGAAGAACTGACTTCCTACCTGTCTCGGCCTCTGCCTATCTCCCTCGATCTGTCCACTCTTTCCTGCTCGGTACTCTGAGTTCTGCAGACCGAGTGTGTCCTCCCAGGGCACCCTGCAGTCACTTCCTGCTCTTTGTCCCACTAGCTGCACAGTTAAAGTAGAGTGGAGAATGAAAAAGTCAAACTCCTTTTTCTGCCACCCTAGTTGGAACCTCCTGTGGCCCTAGTACTTGAAGCTCTTGGTAATTTTAATCCCACACTGTGGTTCAACCCGTTGTCTACGTCTTGCAAAGACAGAAAAGTATCCAAGTTTGGCACAGGAGAGCAGCGGCCATCTGTCTGTCCTGTGCCCTCCATGGACAGAGTTCTTGAGATCAGTTTCCAGATGGAGGCTTAAGAGCTCAGGCCACAGCAGAGAAGCTTGAGAGTCTAAAGGACCGGACAGAGGGCATCAGCTTGGGCCTCAGGCAGCAATGGGATGGGGCCCAGTGAAGCCTTGTGAGGTGTGCACTCCAGAGACACGCAGTTGCAAGGGCAGGGCGGTACGAGCGAGTGCATTTTATTCCTTGCTGGCGAGAGAAGTGGGTCTCTGGCGAGCACCTGGTGTGTCGCGGACAAGGTTTCCTGAGCAGGCTGTGCCTTTCTGCTGACTTGTTCTCCACCTGAAGTGCATAGCAGGGTCCTAGGTCGAGAGAAAATCCAGCAGAAGAAAGAATGGGATGCCTAGAGCCTGGCTCCCACTTGAACGGGGAAGGGCAATGCTTGGTTAGCAGCCCCCATTCAGGAAGCTGGGCAACGTGCATTTCCATTCCCTTGACCTAGACTGTGAGACTCTGTGTCAGGGACCCTGCCGCCAGGCTAGCTCCTCCAAGGTGAAGATGGGCAGCTCCTCTCCAATCCATCTCCAGCAGCTGAGACCGCAACACATTAACTGAAGAGCCCCCGTGGCTTCTTCCTCTTGACCTTCGACAGCTGAGGTCTCTGCAGGGAGGCTGAAATACCCTAGGAAGAAAGGAACTCAAAGTAATAGCATGTTCGGCCGGCGCCGTGGCTCACTAGGCTAATCCTCAGCCTAGCGGCGCCGGCACACCGGGTTCTAGTCCCGGTCGGGGCTCCGGATTCTGTCCCGGTTGCCCCTCTTCCAGGCCAGCCCTCTGCTGTGGCCCGGGAGTGCAGTGGAGGATGGCCCAGGTGCTTGGGCCCTGCACCCCATGGGAGACCAGGAAAAGCACCTGGCTCCTGGCTCCTGCCATCGGATCAGCGCGGTGCGCTGGCCGCAGCGCGCCGGCCGCGGCGGCCATTGGAGGGTGAACCAACGGCAAAAAGGAAGACCTTTCTCTCTGTCTCTCTCTCTCTCACTGTCCACTCTGCCTGTCAAAAAAAATAAAAATAAAAATTAAAAAAAAAAAAAAGTAATAGCATGTTCTACAAAATTTATTATTTTCACTTTATCTGAAAGAGAGACAGATAGAAAAGGATCTTCTACCAGTTCACTCCCCCAAATGCCCACAACAGCCTGGGCTAAGCCAAGCCAAAACCAGGAACCAGGAACTCCATCTGGGTCTCCCACATGAGTGTTACTTGAGCCATCATCATCTGCTGCCTCCCAGGGTGCACATTAGCAGGAAGCTGGATCTGAGGCAGAGGAGCTGGGACTTGAACAGGCATCCCAAGCAGAGTCATAACTGCTGTGCCAAATGTCCGCCCCAATAGGGCTTTTGAAACAGTTCCGCTTGAACTAGGAAAGGAACCTTCCTCTTGGGGCTCCTGCCAAGAGGATGAGGCCTCTGTGCTTGTCTGACATGGGTGTTTTGAAGCCTATGTCAGCAGTGAGCATAAGACCCTGAGTGGAGATGTGTACATCCCTCCTCCTCCAAGGAACAACCCCAAACACTGTCCCTGGAAGTGGGAAAAGGTGACAAAGGTGTCAAGGGCCATCATTCAGGACAAGGGCTGCAGAAAGTAGACAGCAGAGAGGACTCTCCCTGTGCACAGACACACTCCAGAAGCCTGGTTGTAAATATCCCTCAAAGCTGTCGAGGCCCTGTCAATGAGTGGCAATTGCAAGGGCTGCTAGCTTGGGGCTATGGGTGCCAACTCCTCCAGTGCCCAGAATGCCACCCAGGAAGCTGCTCAGGACTTACCACGGGCTCTTTCTCTGGCCCTGAGGGGGCCAGTGCTGAGAAGGCCGGCTGTTCTGGCTGAACCACAAGTTGGCTATCAGTTCTTTGTGGGGAGGCGCTGCTTGAGGTCTGAGGATCTCCTAAATTCAGAAAGGTCAAGAGAAGATGTTGGTAAATGCCTTCTTCCTACCAGGTAGACATTAGCATTTCTCAAGCACCTGATAAAGGCCAGGCTTTGGTACAAATACATAAATAGCAGAAGGAGCCACAAATCCAATTTTCAGCCGGCTTTTGGAAAGCCCTGTTTGTACCATGAGGATTTCCTAGGCCCACTTTCAGCAGGTAGAATAAGAGTTTCCTCAACTAAAAATAACCAACTGTTCTTCTGTACCTTCCCTGACATGTCACGAGGAGAGACAGGAAACTTTCTCCTGGGATAGTAAGCTTTCTCCTGGTTCTCTTGCTAACCTTTCTTCATGACCTTATTTAGTTATTTGAAAGCCAGAGCAAGAGAGAGAGAGAGAGAGAGAGAGAGAGAGAGAGAGAATAAATGCATGCTTGATCTTCCCTCCACTGTTCGCTCCCCAAATACCCACAATAGCCAGGGACCAGCCAGGTGGAAGTCAGGAGCTCCATCTGGGTCTCCCACGTAGGTGGCAGGGACCCAAGCATGTGAGCCATCATCTGCTACCTCCAGGGTGTGGCATCAGCAGGAGGTTGGATCAGAAGTGGAGTAGCCAGGACTCACACCAGACACTCCAATGAGGGATGTAGACAACCCACATGGTGGCTTGACCCCGCTAAACCACACCACCTGCCCCTCTTGCTACAGTTGCTAAGCACCCAGAGCAGTGCCTTCTAATAGAACTCCCAGCAATGATGGAAAAGGCCCATATTTGCACCGTCAAACTTGGTAGCTACCAGGCTAAAATCCACATACTTGCAATATAGCTAGTACAAAAGAGAAGTGAATTTAAAATTTCACTTAGTTTCTATTCATGTAAACGTACCAGGGACCTCAGGAGCTACTTACCAGTGCCTTGATGCTTCTGTCCCACCTGGACCTCTTGCTTGGTGACTGCCATATACAGACTCTGCAGATTCAGGACAAAGGGTCTTCCATCGCTGATACTGCAAGCCTCTGGCAGCTTCTACAGAGCAAAGGAGACACTGCTTTGCCCACTGTCTGATCAGGACAGGGATCTGATAGCCTACTGGCAAAACTGTCACGGTTTCCCAATGAGTTTATATAAATGAGTAATATCCAAGATAGAGGATCCATAGCCAAGCCTCTTGGGACCAATATAAAGATTTTCTGGGGGCTCTTCTCTGAAAGACAACCCCAGAATACATTATTTCCCCCAGTCCTTGAGTCCCGTATGCTTTCCTATGAATACTCCATCATTCCTCGGCTCTTTCTCCCAAAGGAATGATCTCTTGGGGGGGTTATTGTACAACATCATCTTCCCTTGAGCAGTACAGATTATTACTGTAATGAAATTTACTCCTAAATTTCTATACTAGAGAGGAAAGAGACGACATCTAAGATAGGGGAAAGAACAAAGTGGGGATGACAGGTGGAGAGACCAGAAGGGAAGTCACAGTGCTGTGCTGACAGTCAGGAGAGGCAGAGGGAGTGAGGCTGACAAAGCTTCTGAGGCTGACCCACCATTCCCCACTCCCCGCTGCCGTCCCATGGTGCTTTTCAGCGATTCACACACGTACAATGGGGGTGAGCTGATTCTCGAGGGATGAAAACACTCACTCTTTCGAAGCCTAGATATACAAACAATACATAAATAGATTTTTGGTGTGTATCTGTGGCATTCAAGTTTCCTGAGAGGGAGTGATTAGGGAAAAAATGTCTTTCCTTAGGGAGGTGATAGCAGAAGTTGACAATCCCTGCTACAACTGCATCATACTTAGGTTTTGCTCACTATGGAATGAGCTGTGGCTCTATAGGCACACAAAAAGCTTTGCCTAGTTTTAGATACTTGGCTGAACAGAGCTGAGTAATGGTTGACGACTGAGCAAAGTGCAACAGAAATGAGAGGGTATGGTATCCAGCAGTCTCAAACCTGGCTGCACTTGAGAATCTTGGAAAGGGCCCAGAATGACTTTGCCTGCCCCTGTGCGGGCCAACTCTCATGGTTCCCTGCCAACTTAGCAGGTCCCCAGGAGCAGCCATGCCAGCAACTCACATGGGACCCAACCCAAGAATCCCTGGCCTATAGCTCATGTCAAGGGCACCTCCCTGTGCAACAGGGCATTCATTCCTGGGAACCCCCTGAGGGAGAAGAGTAGAGAGAGAAAGCGGGAGAAGCAGTAAGGTAGGTGCTGAGCCCTAGTCGGGAGGACAGAGTTCTCTTTCCCTGAGTGTAGCGTAGCTGGAGAACTTACTGACTGCCAGGAAATGTATGTTACACTTCCACCCCAACCCTCCCCTCATAGAGACCGTATCAGGCTTGGACTTTCACTGCAAACCACAGGCAATGACTCACAAGCCTTGAGTTCAAACTTTACCTCCTGCCAGTAATCACGCTAGAAGTATCACAGCCCTTTGGCAGCATTCCCTAAGGAATGACCTGAAACAGAGTAGGTGAACTCTCAGGTCACACCATCTCTTCCCTCCCTCAGTCTCTGTTCTAGGTTCAGTTCTCTAACTCCCAGGCCACCTCTTCCCCCAGAAGAAGGTCCTCTACTCTGTAGCCAGAGAGCCCTACCAGTGGGGGGCAAACAAACTGTTCTCCCTCCCTACAGCTCATGTTTCTAGGGTCTCTCTTCATAGTGCTCAAGAAACGTAGCCTTCATATCCAGCTGGGTAGGCACAAATTTGTGCTGTTGGTACAAATAGGGTTGGGCAGAATCAAGGCGGTCCAGGGTCATTTCCTCCTTCCCTCTCTATGGAACTAAACAGGCTCATAAATTTTCCAGAGTGATCTTTACCCAGCTCATGTATTTAACCTCAAAACGAAGTGCCAGAAATGAAAGGCCATTGAAACTGGTGCTGCCCTGGACCTAAGGACAGACCTAGAACCTAATAGTAGCCCTTCTTCTATCCCGTCTTTCTCAGATCTGATTCTGCAGTTGCTGCCAGAGGTGATCCCACCTGAGTGTATGTTGTCAAAAAACGAATATGGATGTATGCTCAGGAATAGAATATTGCTTTATTTGCTTGGTACTTATTACATGCTAGGTACTGCTTTAAGTACTTTAAGTGTATTAACCTATTCTTGTCTTATTCACTACTATTTCCATGATATTTGAAAACTACCCTAGTCTATGAGAGGAACCCAATAGCTATCTGCGAATCAATGAGAATGACAGGCATGAAAATACCCCTATTTGGCTGAGGTCATTAATCTCAGCTAATAAGTGGTAAAGCAGGATTAGAATCCATGCAATCTGGGTCCAAGTACTTAAGCCCCTGACACCCATGGGGAGACCAGGCTGAAGTTCCTGGCTCCTGGCTTGCACCTGGCCCAGCCCTGGCTGTTGTGGGCTTTGCGGGAGTCAACCAGTAGATAGACACACTCTCTCTCTCTCTCTCTCTCTCTCTCTCTCTCTCTCCCCTTTCACTCTCTCACTCTCACTCCGCCTTTCAACTAAATAAATCTTAAAAAAAAAAAAAAAAAAGAGGCCAAGCAGTCTGGCTTCAGGGCCCACACACATAGTCACGACCCTTCTCTCTTCTCTGAACAGTGGATTTTTACTTAAAAGTGCAATCTAGGCTCTCCCATGATCACAACCCACAACCCTTCACATCTCAGATCATCTGCCATCCAACTGAAGAACAAGCTCTCCGAGATGACATGAAAGGAGTGAGCAGATAGAAAGGAGGCAGCTGGTCCAAACTGGAATCCTTAAGGACTGAGAGGCCATACTCTCAGTCCTAGTCCAGCCATTCCCCATCACCACTGATTCCTTGGGCGTCATTCTCAGAATACGCTGTGGGGAGAGGTGGAGGAGCCTGAGTTTGGGAAGGAGAAACATTGGCTCCCTGGGCAGGACAATGGTAGGGGCCACCTGGGGCGGGCGGCAGAGATCAAAGGGAAAATGTTGGATCAGGACTAAGCAAAGCAAATAGTGCCCCCTGCTCTAAGCACAACTGAGCCAGGATCACCGTGTACCAGCCACAAAGCGGGTCATTGCCCAGAATGGGAGGGGAAGAAGAGGCAGGTCAGCCTACTGTATAATGTGCTCATCTGATTAACCCAGAATCAATTCTAGCCAGCAAATTGTTGTTGGAATTCTCATGTGTGTCAGGCACTCCAGGGCTGGGGGCAGGGGAAATGGATGCATCAATCCTTCCCTAATCATAACAGGGCTGAGCTAATACAAAGAGAAGTCAGTCGGAGTCTCTGCATATTTACATGGGGGGGATGGGCACACGGATGTTGTTTTGTTTTGCTTTTCAAGAGTTTAGCTGCAACAGAGTTATGAACGAGGGAGCAGGAACCCAGAGAAGAAAGGGATGAGTTCTGACTGAGAGTCCTGTGAAAAGTTCAGGAGACGGTGACATCAAGGTAAGCCTTTGAATGTGCTGTTAGTACATAAAGCATAAAGATGTGAAAGACAGGCTCTAGGGACAGACCTCCCAGGCGGTGATACCACAGGGCTGAGTTCACACAGGAGATTGCAAAGCACTTGGTTTTCTGAATTAAGGGTAATGCCCATGGGAATCTCCTTTGGTTTCACAAAGTGACTTCTCCTTGGCTCCGAAAGTGAGGAATCACAAGCTCCACACTAGATTTCCCTCTCTAGGCTCTCTGTTACAGTAACTTCAACTCTTTCAGTACCTCTGCACTACTTACTTCCAGTGCTGTGACTTTGTGACTCTCTGGTTGCCAATTCAAGGGGACTTTTGCCTCTTGCTCTACAGCTGCGACAGAAACGTTAGGACATCCAATATTACCAAAATCCGACAAGGTATTTTATTTCTCTTCTTGCCCCTTCTGTAGCCCATCTTGGTTCCTGGGGCCCAAACTCCCCTTTTTCGTGGTAACTCTCATCTTCATCAAATCTCAAACTCTCTCCAAGGAGTGCAGAAATTCTAAGATTCCCTGTGGATTTGCCGGAGGGACCCCAACTGCCACTTTCAGTGAGAAGTGTCTCTCTCCCTGCTTCGCTGGGAGACTGTTTTAGAAAATGAACCTTTAGAGTGCTGAGTAAGGAGAGACTCAACCCCTAACACACTGCTTACCTTGTAAATACGAGTGCAGGTGTAAGCGAGAAGGGAGAAAGAGAAAATGAGCTAACTGAAGCTCTCTGCATCTGTCTTGGAGCAAGTCACTGGTTCCGGCACTAGCCACAGTAGCTGGTGTAGCCCAAGCTCCTGGCACTGACTCTCACTGATGTAACCACCAGGGCAGGGCCCCTCACACGTGACTTCTCTGAGGGTAAGGAATCCTCTCCTGCCTCTTGCAATCCAGTGAGCTCTGCTTGTCTAGACGTAACTGCCCTTCTCCAGGAGAACAAGTCTCAGTGGAGGGAGTCAGTGTCCATCATCAGCTTCTCTCAGGGATAAGGGCATGTAAAGAAACTCTTCTAAGAGCTCAACTGCCAGAGTTTGCCAAAATAAATAGAAAGGAATGAGAAAAATGATGTAGGAAGAGGACTCTGATGAGAAAGACTCTTTAAGAAACACACTCTGGGGCAGGCGTTTGGTGCAATGGTTAAGATGCCACTTGGGATGCCTGCATCCTATACCAGAGTACCTGGTTCAAGTCCCAGTTACTTCTGAACCAGCTTCCTGCCAATGCACACCCTGGGAGGCAGTGCTGATGGGTCAAGTACTTGGATTTCTCATACTTATGTAGGAGACCTGGATTGAGCTCCAGGCTCCTTGGCTTTGGCCTGGCCCAGCTCTGGCTGTTCTACCCATTTGGAGAGTGAACAGTAGATGGAAGATCTCTCTGTGTCTCTCTCCTTTTCAAATAATGCAAAAATAAATAAACACTTTTTTAAAAAAGTAGAAAAAATAAAAAAATGCAACACTCCCTCTGCCAATCCATTCATATTTAACAAAAATTACTGACCAACTACTGTGGTGTTTGGGATAGCTCAAATGCTGAGGATATGGTGTGGGGCAATGAAAGAGGTGAAAACATCTTGAAGTTTATGTTCTAGGCAGCTCAACACAAACACACAG